CCCCACACCTCCCCCCAGAGAAATGAGAGAGAGACTGGCTATATTGGTCTGGGAATTGCCTGTGTCCTGGAGAATATCTTAAGGAAGGTAGAAACTAGAGTGAGAAAGAACAAGGAGCCAGTACCCCCAGGCAGAGGTGGGGGGGAGGAGCTCTGTAGGAACAGAGAAGCCTTGTCTGCTTTGCCTCAGAGAATCCCCTGCCACCCCCATAGCCCAGGGGTGGAATAAACAAGGTGTGCCTTTGGGTTCCAGGAGCAGTCTAAAGAGCTGTTACACCCCTTCTCCTTCTGCCCCAGCATCGGGCAGCTGAGGTACTCAGTCCAAAGAGTAGAGCTAGGGCTTTACGTTGGACCAGGACCCCACAGGAGCCTTTATACTACGAGGGGGGAGGTGCTCAGTCAGGAAGAGGACGGGGCTACAGGTTTCTGCCGCCCAGCATATTGCTGGGAGCCCACTGCAGGGGTGTTCACAGTGGGCTGAGGGTGAGAGGGAGTCACAGGGGAAATGAGGAGGGACAGTGGGCACATGGAGGGGGCGCTGCCAGCTTGTGTTTGCTTCAGTGGGAATGGAAAGCACCCAGAAGATGAAGGCAGGATGCGAAGGGCACGGAGCAGGTGAAGAGAGGGCCAAGCAGAGCTGGGAAATGGGCCGGCTGGTCGCCGAAAGGCTGAGAGTCTGTCCACAGGGAAGCTGACCGAGACTAAGCACCGGGGAGCGCGGTGCACGAGGATCTCCCAAGACTAGGGCAGCAATCTGAGACTGCGGGCACTCACCCTCCACAGAGCTGGAAAGCTGATGAAGGGCTTGTTGACCGAAGCCTGGAATTCAAGGACAAGACAGTCAGTGCCCAGCACCCACCCCACCACCGTCCTAGGAGGGCCTCCGCGCCCCCACCCCGAGTCCACGCTTTGCTCCTGAGACTTACTCCAGATGTTAAGGTAGTGGTTGCGCCCCCTCCGTGATGGCCGGTGGATACGCCTGGGCGACCGCCCTGTGGACAAAGCCCAGACCATCATTACGACCCCTCAGACCTGAGGGTCTCCCAAGTTCTTTTTCCCTAGTTACCTGCGACCCCCTAGGGTGACTAACATCCTACCCCCTCACTGTCCAGAAGAAAACCCAAAGGTCATGTTGCTGTGGTAATTCTGTGGGAGGTGGGAAGAAAAGCCAGCAAGGATATCTGCTCCTACTGCCTGGTCTTCCCCTAATACCCTTTCATTTCAGTTAATGACATGCTCTCAGTCACTGAGAAGGGGCCTGACTAGAAAGGGAACCCAGGGGACCCATGCAAATACCGGCCCTGACCTCATGTCTACCCCTTTTACACACACTTGAGCCTGATCCCTAACTCGGGTTGATCCCTGACTTTAATCCTATCCCCAGACACTCAGCAGCGCCACCCTGCTGCTGCCGCCGGCCTGGAGTCTTATCACCAACCTCCCTCTCCTGGCCTCTACATGGTGAGAGCTGCGGTCTATCCCAGAGCCCTTTCCCCTACCCTGCACGCTTTCTACATAGTCCCCTCCTTCCCGCCCACCTGCCTGGCTCCCTGCGTGGCAGTCAGTGTGGCCATGGGCTTTGAGGCCTGGGCCAGTCCTCAAGATGCTGCCCAAAGAGTCCTGACAGATTGGAGAGTGGAGAATTGAGGCAGGCGGGAGCCAGCCTTCTATTGCCAAGTCCCCTCCTTGGTGCCTGTTCGGCTGTGTGTGGTGCCGCTTGCCTCTCCCGTCCTCCAGTCTCTGTTCCCTCTACATAAATGGGGATCAGAAATCCTCCTGGAGACCTGCTCTGATGGGGCAGCGTGGAGGAAGAGGAAGACCCCAGATCTGTGATATGCCGAAGATGTGTGCTAGCCACACGGCCCTAGCAAATCCCCTTAAAGCTCCCTGAGCTCGTTTCCTTATATGAAAATCAGAGTCAGGTCAGCCTCCTCGCCCTCACTATCTCAAAGGCTCATTATGAAAATTAAATAGAAAAGAGCTTATCTCCAAAGCTATTGCTCATGCTCACACTCTGATGTTCTGCATGTTCTCTTTCTGCTCCCACTGTACTAGATCTTGGCTCAGTAATTGTTTCCTGTTCCCCAGGAGAGGCTTCATGTTCCTCCCTCCAGACCTCCTTAACTAGGAGGGCAGCTCCCTGACGGTGGGGCTGGGTCCTATTCATACTGTCTGGCATAAGGCTTTGCAGATAGGATGGCTTGGTCCAGCTGACCAGCTGACCAGCAGCTCCTTTGTAAAGGAGAGGAAGGAGGACACGGTCATATAGCTGCCTAAGCTTCTTTCACCACGTGAGGGCTACCTGGGCTCCCCAAATGTCTCAAGGGTTTACCCTCTCCCTCCCCC